TGGCGGGCGGGCGGGTGGCAGCGGCCCGCTGGAGGGGGCGCTGTGGGCACCGCCAAGCGGCCTTTTGTCAGCGCGCACGGCCAGGAGAGCTCTCATTTCCTCCCCGCCTCGTGCGGGAAATGGATTTCATTCCGACCGCAGGGCTGTAAGGGACGAGCCGGAGCCGGAGCCTTTTGTCAAGGAGCAGCGGCCTCTGCGTCTGTGATTACCAGCGACGCGGAGAAGCCGCACTGCTGGTGGAAGTCCCGGCGCACGGACAAGTGCGGGCTGCAGGATGCGGGGGAAACGCTGCCCTCCAGATTAGCTGGGTGGATTTATTAAGCGCATCCAAAAAAAAAAAAAAAAAAAAAAAAAACCCACAGAAAAACAGAAACCACCCCCACTGGAAGACCAGGGATGCCGTGCAGGAGGTAAGGCCGTCTTGGGAACGGGCGTTGTGGGGCTTGCTTTGGCTTTGTTGGTTTTAATGGCATGAGACCGTGCGGGAGTCGCTGGGTGCCGTCGGCGTGCGTCTGTCTGTGTGTGCCTCGGCGACGCAGCCCCGTCCCACGGCTGTGGGTTTGATGCCTAAGGTTTCCGGTGACAATGTAACATTGGAGGCTCTGGAAATTGGGGCCGCAAGCGCGGGCCCCTGCATGGGGACAGCGGGACTCTCACCTCGAGCATAACGCCTGACAGGTGGGGCTTCTTGGTCGGGTGGAGGGATGGCAAGCCTCGCCACGCCTCGCCTGGCGGGGCCGCCCCTCCGGTCCCTTCCCTTCCCTCTCGGCCGCCGCCCTCCGGGGCAGCTTGCGGGGCGGGCTCGGCCGGGCTGGGGTGCCGCACTCCGCCGCAGGGGGTTGCGGAGCAGGTGCGGCGTCTGCAGCCACCCGCATTTGGATCGGGGCAGCTGGCTCGTGAGCTGGTCCAGTGGGTTTGGATTTTTATGCGATTCCACTGCTTTGGAGGGAAAAAGGCCACTCTTTCCGAGGAGGTGCTGGCAGTCTGTTTACCCCGTAGCTTCCATCTTCTCTCCCCTCTTTCCCCGCCTCTCGTCCCCTCCCCTCCTGCACCCAGAGAGGCCACCCTCGGTCCGGTTTGGGAAGCGGGAGTCAATGTCAGCTTGTTTTGAAATCGCGACCACAGTCTACCTGACGTTTGGGGGAAGGGAGGGAGGCCAGACTGCTTTAGGATGCTGATCAGGCGCTTGGGTCTGGCCTATTGTCTTTCCTTTCTCTCTCCTTCATATTCTCACCCCTAATCCCCATCCTCTGCCAAAAAAATAAAAAGAAAGAAAGAAAATTAAAAATTAAAAAAAGCAAGCCCCAGCCCACACCCTATCAAATTCTGTTTTAAAGTGTCATTTATCTATGACACATGATTATTACCCATCTGTTTCTTTACGCCCACTCTTCCCTCCTCTTGTAGTTTGTTGTCTAAAATTCAATTGACTCAAATGAACCTTATAAATAATAAAGATCAAATCTCAGTTTCCTAAATGAATATTTCATGCTTTCTGACTAACCCCTAGGGTGGGGTTGGTCTAGCATCCTGGCAAGGCAGAGGGATTGGAGAGGGCGCACTCAACTGCTTTCACATCTAGTTTGTGGGTCTAGTTGGGATTCGTGAAATGTTAACTTGTGCAGTGAGGGATGTCCTCATTAAAGGGATTTGAAGGTTATGTTTAATTTTAAAGAAAAATAACTGGGCAGCATCTGAAGTGAAGGTGCTTTAAATGAATATGGCCAAAAGAAAGTAATTATGAAATTTCAGACTTGCAAATGACATCTCCCACTAGCATATGAATAATGTATGTTAGAGATATTAAAAGGGGGTTTAGACCATGAATATTTTTACTTTATAATGTTCTACCTTTATTCAGTAAAGTGAATGCCTGTGGACCAGGATATTGCCCAGCCCCCTCACACCCTTCTACTCCTCCTGCCTGCCCTCCCATAGGACACAAATAAAAGCAAACTTTTCATTATTAGTATGATGTCAATACATTTTGGAAAACCAGTAAAGATAAATTATTCTTTGATTCAAAGTCCGTAACAATTTTGTAGCAAGCCCTATGTTCTTTCCTGTCCATCAAATTGCCTAGCCCTATTAGAAATGTGCTTGTCACATACACCATACACAAAAGTCCCTAAAATGATACACTACGTGTGGTTTCTAGGTTTGGGTTGAATTTGCTTTAAATATTAGTATAATGCTGGAATTAGCAAACCTCAGCTATTCTTAAAGTTTACGGATGACCAAATGTATTTGTTGGCAGAGGTTTAGTGTTAAGATTTTAAATACATATTTAAAAAGACTGGTAAATATGTCTATGTATTACCTACCTTGTTCCACAATGGAGATTCATAGACAGTTTAGAGGGATTCATAAAATATAGCAAGACGGCCTAACTTAGAAGTAGATGGGAAAGAAAAAGGAAACTAAGGATAGACACATAAAATGGTATTAAGAATGAGGCTGATGCAAAAATATAAGCGTGAGACTCTGCACTGGCTATAAGCAGGAGTCAAATCCAGCTCTAAACTTTCTAGCAGCTCATGCAAAAAGGAAATTGACCAGCCCATGGCTCATGTGTTTTATTTATTCATTAACTCATTCATTCACTTGTTCACTCAGCAAATGTTCGGTGAGGGCTTACTATGTGCCAGGTTCTGTGAGAGGTACTGGGAACAAAGGGATGACACAGATAGACGTGGTCTCTGCCCTGGTGGGCACTTAAAGACAAATGTAAGAGAAGAACATTCATCCTGAAACCTCTAAAATGAATGTATAATTGCAAATTATGATAAGAGGAAAAACACAAAACATCACATGTCCAGAACATAAAAACACAAAATAAAAACTTCTTAATTCTATTAGGTATAATTAATTCTAAGACCAGAAAGGAAATTTTCCAAATATGATATAGTGTTTGGAATGTTGTCTTCAATCACCTCCTTGTCAGACACAAGGACAAATTTCATACAGTTGTTTTTACAGTGTCTCTCAGTGTGAGATCATGATATCACACCATAGGTTTCTCAGACCCCTGGAGTTCTGAGGATATCTGTATTTTGAGGGATCTGTGTATTCTCTAAAGTTGGTGGCTTTATTCCAGTGATAATCTTGAATAATTAATAATAAAAATGTTTTCTGGATCATCATGATGGCAAGCCCCAAACTGATGCTGGGGCGTGCATTTGCCTGTGTGTCTTTCCATTCTCAGCCAGGGGCAGGCCTGGTCACAGCACAGAAGAGGGTAGTGGAGTTTGAACCGAATTTGACTAGTGGAGAGAGAGGTGAGTCCGCACAAGGCACCGGCTTGCCAAACTCAAAAGAACAGCTCCAGGCGACCACTGGAATTGAATGGCAAGGAATGAAAATCTCATGCCAGTTCTACCCTCCTATGGACCAAGTTGTAACAATTTATTAGCAGCAGGCGTTGAAATAAAAACGCAATGAAAAAGTTGCCATTGTTGGCTGCGGAGTAATTGGATTAGATCTCCATTTAGTGCAAATCTAGTAACTCTCCAATAGGTACATTACGTCCAAGGTAATGAGACAGGTAATTTGGTACAATGATTAAATGGAGCCAGACTGCCTGACTTCAAATCCTATTTTCTACTTGCTAGCTGTGAGACTTTGGACAAGTTACTCAACCTCTCTGTTCCTTAGTTTCCTCTTATGATGATATGGGAATAAAAACAGACATTGATTACACAGTGATATTATGAGGATCTATGACATATTACATGTGAAAGACTTGAGCCTATAGTAAGGTTCAATAAATGTTAGTGATTATTACTACTTTTATTAGTATGAAATATCACCTCATTTATGTAGGCACTCCAGGATAGTTTGATAGCAGAATTTTAAATTATGATATCTAATTATCTTCAAGTAGCAAACATATTTTTGAGGCTACTAATATTTTGCATAGTATGTTTTATGCATTGTCTACATTAATATTGCTGAAGTCAAAATTCAGAAAATGATAACATGTAGAAATTAGACCTGAGGCTACATCTTTCTATTGTTAAACCCAAAATGGTGTTTTAGTTTCAGCAAGACAATATTACCTATTTCAATATATCAGTTTTCTTAATTTGACATTATAAAGTTTGATAGTTGTATTAATTTGTACATTTGTTTGGCATTTCAGTAATATAAAAGCTATAAAGCATATGTGTTTAAAATTGGTCTTTATGAGTATACATATGTAAGTTACATTTTAATAAAAGTGGTTTAGGTCAACTTTGAGGTTTGTGAGAAATTTTTTTCCTTCACAAGGGATTTCTACATAGTTTAAGCATTTTGAACTGTGTACAGGGACAAATCCAAGATTCTTGGAATAGAATTTTGAATCTTTAGAAAAGAAATTATGGCCAAAATATTCAGCTCAATATCTCTTGGCTACCAAAGTTTTAGCCTGAAAGTATTTTAAAGTAGTAATACCAAAAACTGCTTTTGTCTTCAATGACACCACCACCACCAAATCCCCCAAACTCAAAGAGCACCCATAGAATGGTAAGCTTCTAGCAGATTCATCCTGGCCTATCCTGCAAGAAAAACTACATATGAGTGGTTTGCCAATGTTATTGAATGAAGTGAGAAGAAAGTCTATTTTCTGTGGGGTACAAAGTTCAATTGTATCAATTACAAGTTTATTGATTATATTGTTTAAATCTATTTTAAAATTTTCTTTGTACCTACAAAGAGATTACGAGATGTTAATCTCCCACTATAATCATATTTTTGGTAGCTTTCCTTTTGTACATATCATATACACAGTTATTTATATATTTAATATATAACATAACATAATAATATATACACACACGTAGTTATATTTGATGCTGTGTTACTTAGGGTCCCGATTGCCCAAGATCAATGAGTTTCCTGGGATGGGGGACTTTCATTGCTAAAACCAGGACAGTGCCAGGCAAAAAGGGATGGCTGGTCATCCTACTCAGCACAAATTCTTGAGACGTATGAATCTCCATTGTGGAATGAATCTTCTTTATTTCCAGATCCTCTTTGTCTCGTATGTTTTTAATTTTTTTTGGTCTTAAATTTTACTGTGGATAATAAAACTGAGATCCTGCCTTCTTTCTGTTTTCATTTCCCACGGTCATTCTTTTTTTAAAAGCTTTTTACTTCCAAGGAGCCAGCCCGGTGGCGCACTTGGTAGAGTGCGGCACTTGGGAGCGCGATGGCGCTCCTGCCGAGGGTTTGGATCCCATATACAGACCAGTCGGCTCACTGGTTGAGCGCGGTGTGGGCGCGACACCGAGGGTTGCGATCCCGTTACCGGTCACGAAAAAAGACAAAAAGGAAAAAAAAAAAAGCTTTTTACTTCCATATCATTTTAATTTTTGTCCATTTTAAACAACATAATTGGATTTTTCAGACTAAATTTACATTTATTTGT